ATCTATCTTTATTATACTCCTGATACTTAGGAAGATGAGTACAATGAATTTCTTTGAAGAAGTCTCAACCATTTGAAGAGTATTGATCGAAGCTTTTAGCTTTTGTTGAAGGCTTCATTGGTATATGTGAATTGAACTCAAAAACCATCTTTTTTGCGAACATTTCATTCTGATTGATGAAATTATTCTTACCTTACTACTCAGATGGAACTTTGAAATTGGACTTGGGCGTGGGGAACAGATCAAATGGTCATCTTGAAACTTGCCTTCGTTACCAGATGATTTAGTGCTTCTCATTGTGAAGTTGTTGAAGGGGTCATCAAATGGGAAAACTTGTCCCGATAAAAATATGTTCTCGACGTCTGACTTTTCAAATGCAGAGTTGCCCTTTTCTTTTTTTTTTTCCCCCAAATTGCATCATCAAATCCAGTCATTATGTTTTCAATTTGAGAAAAGTTTTCCATTAATTTCCTTCCCTTGAATACATATGTGCCGACCTACTTATTCGAGATCAACTTCTCCGGAATCAATATCTAGCACCTAGGTCTTTGTAGTGTAGTTTAGATGGCATTCCCTTTAGATCTCCCCTTCGGTGGATACCTAGTGATGTAGCATCGACTCGACTTGATAACTCGGCCTAAATCAAAATCAATTCAATCCAAATCTAATTCATCTCCAAACTAAACCCAAATCGACTCATCTCAAATCGAATATTTTAAACCAAAATTTGCTACACCAATGGAAGTGAAACCAAATCAAATTAACTCGAGTCGAGTTCAATTTAAACAACAATAGCTCTGATTAGATTGAATTGACTCTACGCGAGCCAATCGAACTAAAATGACTTTAGTTAAATTAAACAAATGGATTTGAAGTTGTTTTATTTTAAAATGTCAACTAATTTTGTTTAAATGAATAAACCTATTTCATTAAAATAGATTTTATATATATATATATAATCAATTAGCAAAAGAAACATTTTTAGCATACAAATCTATCTAAATTAAAATCAAAACAAATCTTAATTTTTCCTCTCATTTGAATCAAAATTCTAATTAAAAGAGGTGTTTGAGCCAAACCTAAGGTTCGGTTGGACCGGTTTAAGTCGAACCCCACGATCCATTTTCTCCCTTTTTTCATTCGGAAACCGCCCCCACTACCTCCTATATATTTGCAGAAGAAGCCTACTCTCTCCGGTCGCCCTCTCATTCGCGGCAAATTATTAGGTCCGATCACCGGGCCTAGAAATTGGTCCGGACATCCACTAAAAAGTTGCCGCATGGACTGCGCTTTGACTATGTGCTTTGAGTGCGTTTTGAGTGCGCTTTGGGTGCGCCTTGACCGCGCTTTCACTACGCTTTACCTGCGCTTTTGACGCACTTGACTTCAACAACTTATATCTTTTTAAGACAATATTGAATGAAGGATTGGAGCTCCTGGAGATACATCATGCAACTTTAAAAATTATTAAATTGAGAATTACTACCTTTTAAAACTCATTCGTATAGAGTATGGATGGACAGGCTCATAACTTCTTGTTAAGTATAATATGAAACTTTTTTTTTTTTTGTTTTTTAATTTTACTTCTTGTATGACATGCATTCAGTGGTATTGCTGTACAGTCGCAGTAGGTTTTCCATATTGATAGCTAATGCTCAATACATCTATACTTTACCTATTATGATTATATCTTGAAGAGCTCATCTTGAGTAATGAGATGTTCATTATGGTCGATCAATATGCACGTTGCTTAAATCTATCAACTTCCAGGGTGAGGGTAGTTGTTTGTTTTTATGTTAAATGAATCAATTGAATGGCCTTAGATGAATTATAATATGCATATATAAGTTATCAATTATGTTAATTGTCAAGCAAGAATGCATGTTTATTTCATTTGGATGAATGATGTGATTGTCGAGCCTTATAAATTATAATATTCTTGCTTTTTCCTTACATTGGTGTGGTGGCTATCATTGTATTTGTGGTTGTTTCATGAGTAAAATTGGATCCGAATTTTTTTTACAAAGAGATTTAATTGTGTTGTAGTCGACACTTCTCCATTTGTTGTGGAAGAAAAGTTAATATTAATGAAGAATGACATTAGAATGATGGATTGCATGAGGCTGTTATGGGCCTTTCTTTTGTTTCATGAGTAATAGCTTGTTGTTGTAAGTTGAGCTTGATATGAAGCATGTATTTAGAGTAACACTTTATCATTGTATGGCTTATGGTTAATTGGAGAAATATGCATAAAAATGTATGTTCAGGATTGTTCTTTTAACGAGTTTTGAAAAAGCTTTTCATATGTCCATTTGTGCTTTAAGTCGATTTGAAAATAAGCATTCATAAGTCTCTTATAAAGAATTTTTGAGAAATGGTGAACATTCAATAGTCTTTTATACAAAATTTTTGGAGAAATGTAGGAGAAAGTTTGTGCTTTCTTCTATCATGAAGTGTTTTGGAAATTTTTTGAAAATCATTCATATGCTTTTATTTTTAACGATGAGCATGCATAAACCTCTTATAAAATGCTTTGGAAAGTGTGTATGCTAAGAGTGAGCCATGGAAATTTTGGAAATTGGATTGTATATGTGTTGCAAATTGAAGTGACTGAAAAGTGTATATATTGGAATTGTGAAATGCTTTAAAAGGTAAAGCGTGTGAACCTTGAATGATGAGATGTGTAGATTTTGGAAAGTAAAACATGTGTATTTTAAAAAGTGTGTTTGTGTTTGAAAAGTGTTCTTTGTGTGTAGATTAAGAAGTGACATGTGTGTGCTTTGAAAGGAGATTTATGTGTTTCTTTGGAAGATGACATGTGTAAGTGTGGAAAAATAAAGTATTTGATTTTGTGGAAAGTAAAATTTGATAGTAATGAAGGGATTTAGAGGATTCCTATAACCAATTTCAAATAATCAGATAAAATGTTTAGTTTCGAAAAAAAAGAGAAGCCACATGATGTGGACTAGTCCTTTCTCATTGTCCCTATCATTCGACCTGTTTTGGTTTCAATTTTTTTGGCAAACTCGTCATTTTTGAATAATTAGATAAGACTAGTGATAATGATAATGACAACTATGATAATGAGGATGATGTATACTTATAAGGAAAGTATGTGAGATTTTCTCATGTGTTGGATCTCTTATTTGATATGTTACTTTTAATTAAAAATTTTTAGTATGATATTTATATGTTTTTTTTTGTTATGCATGAGCTTGAATTCTTTCACAATTTTTTTTATTCATCTCTCTAGCATTTATGCAGGCATGATTAAAACCCTCGGTTATGAGTGAATGGATTTTGACTGCTTTCTAGTTAGTAGTTTTCTACTTTTTGTATTTGTCTATCATGTTTGTCTCATCAACAAGATCAACTAGGTAGGTGGAGACCTTTAATATTAATGCATCTATAATGATGAATATTTATTGAATAACCTGTAAGTTTACTACTTCTATCCATCTTTGCTAATTTGATATTTAATTCACATTTATCTTTACAACCTTTAAGAAATTCATCTGTTTGCATGCTATTCTGCTAGACTTACTTTTATTCAAATTGTTAACCTATTGTCTTTAAATTCATCTCCAGCTTCAAAACAACTGATAAACTAGGAAATAAATTGCATCAGATTCTCCTCCTAATGCAAAATTGTGTCATTAGTGCAATATTTATGATCAAAATAGGTATAGATGTTATTAAAAATACAAAGACATTTATGTATAAACCTACAAGCAAATTATTTTGTATAAATGTTCTGCAATAATAAACATCACTCAACCTTACTAATTGTATTAGATAAAAGGATAAAATTAGATCGGTACTTTTGATAAAATGAACATTTTTTTATCATATGTTACGTATTCCTTATGCATTCTTTTTATCATGATTAATCTTATACTAAGCTTTTGAGCGCATGTGCTAACTCTATTATGCAAATCTTTGTACATTGGGGATTTGGTGAGTTGCCATAACACAGGTTAATGATGATAATTATAAACATTAGGGATTTAAGTTGCCATAGCACATGTCTCGAAGATGTTCGGCTTAATTATTTTAGTTGTAAAAAACAAATTTCGAGTTAGCAAATAATTGTAAGAAGTGATTTATGTATATTTTAATATACTAAATGCTACGCTTTAATGTGCAAGTTTGTAAATGTCATAGAAATTATTGTCAAGATTCTATAATTGAATTCCTCTTAAGTAAAATTTGTGCTTCAAAGTCAACTGTTCTAATAAGAACCCTCAAAATGTGTTTTTAATCCTACCTAAATTAGGATTTGATTATATCCCATGAGTGGTTATGGTTAATGAGTACTTGATTTATATCACAATCATGGGTAAACTTCTAATGAAGTCCCATCGTGAGCTTTAACACCTCTAAGGATCCTAACTAAAAGAGACAGGACAAAGTTCATTTCCTTCGCAAATAAAATTTAAGAATGTCCTTTAATATATGAAAACGATATTAAGGAACTTACATGGAAGGCTAGATATAATTCTTTTACTTTACATATAAACCTTAATCTTTTCGAGGATTTACTAGAGAGTTTAATCCCACATCACCAAGAAGTAGCCTTATGCTGGATTTTGCCCAACTCAATTGATCTTTGAAGCTTACCAAACTCAATGAGTTTATGGAACTCTACTGTCTTTGTTGGTTTTATGGAGCTAGTCAACTTTAATGAGTTTACGAAGCGATATGATAGTTTTATAAAGATGAATTTATTAAAGTCTCATTATGATATAATTAATGTTGGGTTGACATTGATTATAATACCACATGGCCAAATTCATTAAAGCTTCATTTAGATTTAGTTGAATGAGGGCCAAAAAAAATAACAACTCTATAGCCAAAGCACTAATGTCCAAAAATGATAGTGTTAAAGTTGGTCAAACCACAATCCTAGTACCATCATAAAAACCGCATTGAGGAGATCTTGGCCAGATCATCACCCATTCAAAATTTGAGCAGATTACCAGTCCTTAGAGGCTCCCGTGATGGCTAGGGCATCCTCTTCCCGCCTTCTTCTGTGTCTCTCCCCCCTCTCCCCTCCTCTGGCGTTGCCGGAGGACATTCTTCCCTCCGTTCATATGGAGGCTGGCCTCCTCTCTTCGGACTTTCCACCGCTCTCTCAGTCTCCAAGTGGAAAAGCTAAGTTTACTCCTAAAAATTGGAATCTGGTTTTTGCTCCCGAAACTTCTGCTCCTAAAGCCCTCAATCTCTCCCACTTCCCTGATGAACCTGAGATTGTCCCTTTCTCTAACGATAGCCTTTCTAAAGGGGGCGAAGACTGGAGTTTGTGCCTTGTGGGCTACTCCATTGGTCGGAGACCGTTTTATGAAGCACTTCAGGGGGCGATCAAGAAAACGTGGAGCCTCAAAGGATCGGTACAACTATTATCTCTTAACGATGGATTCTTTCTTATTAGTTTCTCATGTACTGAAGACTATGATATGGTTTGGTCGTGGGGAGTCTGGTTCCTGCTTGGAAGACCTTTTATCCTCCAAAAATGGCACCCAAAATTTAAGCCAATTAGGGATAATTTTGCTTCCGTTCCGATTTGGGTCAAAATACACGACCTCCCTCTTGCATGTTGGAATTTGGAGGGGATTTCCAGGATTGCAAGCAAAATCAGTATACCTCTAGCTGCTGATAATCTGAATGAGCAAAAGACGAGGTTGACTTTTGCTAGGATTTGCGTTCTGGTGGATTGTAACGCTACCTATCAGGAAAAAATCAAAGTTTCCTTGGATGGAGATGTTGTTTGCTTGAAGGTCCAATACGAATGGAGACCCATCCCGTGTGATCACTGTAAGTCGCTTATGCACTATTCTTCTCTCTGCCCTTCTAAACCGAAAGTTCATGGAGACGATGAGACGGCAGCAGTTAATACACAACATCATGGGCGGAGCTTTAGTAGGAAACCTAAAAACAGATATCCTTCCTCTAAAATTTTTTCGAGGCCACCTATTAGAGAATCTCAGCAACCTCACCCTCCTTCTCTCCCTCCCTCTACCACTGCCTTGGTGTCTCATAACAACAACAGCATTGGTCAACCTCTCCTTTATCAACCTCATTCTCCTTCTCCTTTTAATGTCCAAGAGCCTATCTCAAACATTGTGGTCTCAGTCGAAAATCTTATTTCCAATCCCTCTGCCAATGTTCTCAATAACACAGTCATTCCGAATTTAAACTCACCTAATGGGGAGGAGGTGGCCTCCACATCTTCCTGTTCGTTGCATATACAAGGATCACAAAAAGTTATGGAGTTGAAGATTAATTCCCCCAACAAGTTTGAAGTGTTAAATGTGGAGGAGGAAGAATCATCTTTTCAGGAGGAGGCTTGCAATGATCTTGATGTCCGAGATAACTGGATTCCAAAACAAAAACAAAATGACAAATCAAAACTGAACAATTCTGTGGCGTCCAAAAAAACTACTATGGGAAAGCAGGTCAAAAAATCCCATACTTTAAAATCCTAATGTTCCTTCCCAACATTGCAGCGTGGAACATTAGGGGATTTAATCGCCCAGACAAAGTTCTTTGCTGCAAGCGTATTTCTGAGTCTTTTAAACTTGACATGTTATGCATTCTGGAGAATAGGATTCACGTGAATTCTCTTCAAGACCCGTTTTTTGAGCAGTCTCATTTCATTTTTTTGAATGAAAAAAGTTGTCATAATTTCAACTTGACCTCCTCGGGGAGGATTTGGATCAAATGGAATTATGCAAAATTGGATTTTAGTCCCACGCACATCTCCTCTCAACTCATCTCTGGTATTGTTTCTGTTGCCTCCCACTCTCTGTTTCAAATTTCTGTTATTTACGCCTCTAACAGTGCTCGGGAAAGGAAAGATCTGTGGAGCTCTCTTGTGCAAATTGCCCCTGCTGCTGGCATTCCCTGGGTGCTGCTTGGGGACTTTAATCACTGCCGTTATGCCTCTGAAAAGTTGGGGGGTTCCTCTCTTAATCATTCTGCTCTTTTTAACATTAATAACATGATTTTTATCAATAGTCTCATGGATTTAAATACGGTTGGCAACAAATTCACCTGGTTTAATAACCGGGTTCTCCCATTCACATAAAACTCGATAGAATCCTTGTGAATGACAGTTGGCTGGAGGCTTTTCCTGATTCTTATTGCTCTGTTCAGAGCCCCTCTTTCTCTGATCATAGTCCGATTCTTTTTCACTCTGGTACGATTTATCACTCACGGCACAGATTTCTTTTAAAAAATTATTGGTCTAAGATTGATAGGTACTGGTCTATCCTTCTTGAAGCCTTCTCGGTTCCTATTTCTGGTAACCCGCTCACTCATCTTTGCAACACTCTTAAAACAGTTAAATTCTGCATCAAAAAAGAGTCCTGGTCGAGTTTTAACTCTGTCACTAGGCATATGGATTCATTACTCAACTCTCAAAGAGATCTTTTGGAGAAATTGCATGCTGATCCGAATAATCATTTGTATAATTCCTCTTTAAAAGCTCTTAATGCTAACATTGTGGAATTTAATGCTATGCATGCTTCTTGGATCATTCAAAGGGCAAAGGTGAATTGGTTAAAGCATGGAGAGGATGATCTCAAATTTTTATATGGTAAAATTAGATGTAGGAGTAGCACCAAGTCGGTGGAAAACTTGCTTGCTTCCTCTCCTCTATCATCTAGGACTGATGCTGTCTTCTCTATCACTCGGCATTTTCAAGCTTTGTACAACTCGTCCCCTCCTCTTATTCAATCTCTGGATGGTTTCCCTGCTGGTAATGTGATCTCTGCCTCCATTGCTAATGTGCTTACCTCTTTTGTGAATAATGAGGAAATTAAGGCTATTGTTTTTGGGGGCTCTTCCTCTTCTGCTCCGAGTCTAGACGGTTTCAACTTCCATATTTTCAAAACTGGATGTCATATTGTTGGTCCTCATGTGTGTAGTGCTATCAGATCTTTCTTCTCTAAAGGGTATATCCCTATTGGGGTTAAAGCCACTGCTCTTGCTTTAATACCAAAACATAATAATGCTACAAATATTTTTGATTATAGACCTATTGCCCTATGTAATGTTGTCTATAAGATTATTGCTAAAGTGATTGCTAGTAGGCTAAAACCCGTCATGCCTGGCATCATTAATCATACTCAGTTTGGATTTGTGAAATCTAGAATTTTCACTGATAATATTCTGTTTGCTAGTGAGATTCTTGCTTCTGCAGGTAAGAGGGGTGGCACTCAAATGTACTGTGCTAAACTAGATATTAGAAAGGCATTTGATTATGTATCTAGGGATTTTGTTTTAGCTAGGTTGGTTCAAAAAGGATTCCCCAATCTTCTTGTTAACTGGATCAGGTTGTGCATTTTGAATGTGCATTATTCTGTTGTGCTTAATGGTGCTTTGGAGGGCTATTTTTCTTCTCTGCTGGCTAAGACAAGGATGCCCGTTGAGCCCTTATCTATTTTGTGTGGTCATGGATGCTCTTTCTAAACTCTTAGAGGTTAGAGGTTTTAAAGGTATCACTGCTGATAACTTTTCTCTGACACACCTTTTATATGCTGATGATGTTCTGATCTTTGGAGAGGCCTCTATACAAAACTGCCACAAACTAGCTTGCATCCTTAGTGATTTTGCTAATGCCACGGGATTGCAAATTAACTTTAATAAGAGCGCAATTATGTTCCCTAAGCAGCAAGTTAATCATCAATACATATGCAACATCCTATCCATTCACAATATCACTTCCAAGATCACTTACCTTGGGATTTCTTTGTCTTTCCACAGACTTAAGATTGAAGACTTTATACCTTTAGTGGATAGTATCAACAAAAAATGAATGGTTGGAAGGCTAACTTGCTTTCTTTTGCTGGTAGACTTTAGTATCTCAAGTTCACTATCCAAAATACTATTGCTTATTGGATTCGTGGTGCAATTTTACCTTAAACTATTTCTAAATTCCTGAAAAAAGCCAGCTCTCGTTTCCTTTTTTTTTGGGGACTCCTCACAAGCCAGGAAGTTGCATATGGTGTCTTGGGATGTTATTTGTCGTCCCAAGAATAAGGGTGGTCTGGGTGTTACTTCTTTTAATGCTTTGCAGTTTGGTTTTAATTGTTCTGCTATATTTAGGATGTACAATTCATCCTCCCCTCTCTCCTCCTGGTTGTTAAGCAAATATTCCTCTCCTTGGCAGCAACCTACTACAACTGCCTCTAAATTCTAGAAATCTATTTGTAAGACTGCTTTTGATGCTAAAGGCTGTTTTTGCTTTAGAATTACTAGGCATGCCCCCATTTCTTTTTTACAGGATCACTGGTGCTTCAATGTTACTCTTGAGGAATATATGGGCTATGCTATTGATTTCCCAGATTGTGTTTTGGGATCTTTTTTCAAGGATAACAATTGGATTCTTCCAGATTTTTTGCATGTTCAAATTAAAAACCTCTTTCTTCTTACCAATGCTAGTGAGGAATCCTGTATTTTTTGGAAAAATGGTTACAATTCCAAGTTCAAAGACTATATTGAGGAATTTTATATAGACTTGCCTAGTTTTAATTGGAGCAAAGCTGTGTGGCTTAAAAGAAACTGTTTAAAGAATAATGTATATGTGTGGATGGCTCTAGTTGGGGGCCTTAAAACTGCAGATGCGCTTCGTATTAGGCAGTTAGTGGTGCCTAGTAGGTGTAGTTTATGCCATAATTTTGATGAAACGGTAACTCACCTATTCTTCGAATGCACCTACTCTTTTTTGTGCTTAATGCTTTGATCCCAGCCACTGTGGGGCTGCTTCTTAGACCTTCCTTGCTTCATCTGTTTGTCTGGGTTAACGATGTTTACAAAGGCAAGGCTTCGGTGAAATTTTTTTACAAATTCATGATCTGTTGCACAACTTATTAAATTTGGAAGGAAAGAAATTCAAGGAGATTTGGAGGTAAAATGCAAAGCTCTACCACTCTTTCTTTGCTTATTAAAAGAGTTGTTTTTGAGAAAATTTTAAAATGGAAAGACTCTTCTCTTTTGCTGGAACTGTTATAAGTTGGAGGTTTTTTGGTTTCTGTGAAGTGTCCTTTATGGGTTGTTTCATCTGTGCTGTTGGAGGTGATTTTATGTGTAGATTTGCTATGGGTCCCCTTGTCCCTTTGATTTTTCTACAAAGCAAAGGCTGGACAATGATGATGCTCCCCATTGCAGACCCCGTGGATGGCCTTCGGGCAACCAGGGCTTTCTTTCTTTCCTATCGTAATTTCCTGAGTCCAGTCTTTAAGGCTTGGGAGCTGGGTTTTGCTTATCTTACATTACAGGTTTCGGAGCTTTTTGGAGCTGGTTCTTTCTCTCTGGACTACTTCTACAGCACCTTTTTGGATTGGCCGCTGCTGACTGGCCTCTCTGTTTGCTTTTTTTTTAACTACCACATTTTTGGCTCTCTTACTATTTTTTTGTTGAGTATGGGTGGTATAGTTGATTTTACTTATTTCCTTTATCTAACATAAGTTTTTGTATTTGCTTATGTTGGATATTAATTGTAATCTTCTTTTTACTTTCACATGTAATCTCTTCTTTACTCAGTAATATATGGGCTTAGGCCCCAAATTTTCCCAAAAAAAAAAAAAGTCCCATCCACAAAATGAGCTTAAGGAGAGTTTATATTTGACCACAATTCATATTGGTGCCATCTTTAAATCCGATCGAAATGTGTGGGAGGAGAGTCTAACCCAAATTGTGATTCTACTAGCATGACTTTATTGAAGTTCATATAATTGTGAAGAGTGACTCCTTGCACATTCTCGTTGTCTATGCATATCAATTTCATGTCATTACCTCACACACAAGTGAATTTTTAGATTTTTTTCTTGTGCACTAACATTGGCAATATATGTGTCTATCTTTGTTGTTCCTAATGTCATCAATGTGCTAGCATAATTTGGGCTACTTCAGCTTAAGGTCTATGTATTTTTAAAGTAATTTCATGTGATTTCAAGCCCCTTGTCTCTTATTTTTATCGTATTTGATCAAACCAACTTTAGAGTACTTCTTGAGGTCAACATGAGGCTTTATGAGAAATGATGACCATGAACTTCCACACCAAGGGGTAGCCTCTTATTAGTCTATGAAATCTACCTCAGCATGCCTATTTAGTCCACCAAGCTTGATGAGACTATTAAACTATCAAATTTTAATGGGTCTCGGGAGATATATAAATCCAATATGTCCAGACAATGTCAAATCCAACTACATGTCAGCAAAATCTACCCAATCCTATTGAGTTTACAGAGCTTACTAATATATAATGGATTTGGAAAATTGACCCCAGTCCACTATTTGAAGCACTTAAGTTCAATTAGGCTATTTTCGAAGAGGGTCCAATAGAGCTCATGCTCCTATGAGGACAACTCAAAATAATATTCCAAATGGACAACAAGTGGGAAGCTCTTGTTACACTTCATTTAGTAGTCAATATGGCCATCCAAATTGGTTTTTTAAACTTCTTGCTTAGCAACTTGGATCA